CATCGAGATTTAAATTACTTTAAGGTGTCTCTTTGGTGTCTGAGTGGGTGCTTTGTTTTGTTTTATTTGGCACCATGCTGAGACAAGCCACGATCTGGCCAATCTTAAAACTTAAAAATGTTTGAGGGGCGCCTGGGTGGCTCAGTCGTTAAGCGTCTGCCTTCGGCTCGGGTCATGATCCCGGGGTCCTGGGATGGAGCCCCGCATCGGGCTCCTTGCTCGGCGGGGAGCCTGCTTCTCCCTCTCCCTCTGCTCTCCCCCTGCTCACGCTCTCTCTCTCTCTATCTCTGTGTCCCAAATGAATAAATAAAATCTTTAAAAAAATGTGACTGTGCCCTAGGAGCCTTTGATACCTTCCGGTAAGTTCCGTGCTGGATTTGCCAAGTGTGTCTCTCTCTTATTAGCTGATGTTTCCTATCAGGGTCGCAGGCATTGAACATTTCCACTGACCTCCCCTCCCCACACTCACAAAGGCAAGGGAGTTTTCTTCAACTAATAATATCCTTCCCAGTGACCCTACAAATAAGATCTTAAACCACAATTTGGCTTCAAGAACCGGTTCCTGGTCTAATCCTTAGATCAACATTTTCTGAACAGAATCCTGTTATTGTGTGGAAATTATCCAGAGGCAATGGAAGCCTCCAAGTACACGACCAGCCACAGAGCAGGAAGGCTCATGGATCAAAGCCACAGAGTATGGTAAATCAATGTACACCATGTGTGAAAATCAAGAGGCAGGAGAAGTGGCAGGTTAATGCTTTGTCAGGGGTGCAGGTGGGTGGAAGGACCACATACCTGGACCCTGGGTAATGTTCTGTCCTGCCCTCAGCCTTCCCACCAACGCAGGGTACCCAGGACCAGCACTGGTGCTTGAACAAGGGGCTAGGACATGGATAGCACCAGGGGCCACCATGCCTGAGCTTTATTAGAGAGGCTCAGGGCAAGCATCGCCGGCCCAGCTGTAGCCCACGGTGACCCACAGGACAGCCGTGACATTAGTCTGTGTTTCTGGGGCTGACACATGGGCTGATTCGGGCCGTGACAGGGGTCACTGATGGGTCCCTGATTTAGAGATATCAGAGTTTTCAGCCTGGACATGCACGGTCTGTTTCTGATCGCTTGGCCTTTCCATCCCTGCCTATGTATAGTACATTTCTGCTCGTTCCTTCCTTTTTATTGCATAACACATCCTACAGGTTACCAGCTGTCTACATTTAAGACATCTCAGGAGTGCCACCCACATCCCACGGGCCACAAGTTTCCCACTCTCTGTACTTGACCAAACATTTTCAGTTTCGCATATTGCATTTGTTTTCCTACCATTATCGACAAATTGACCAGTCTCAGATGTAGAAGATGATCATGACACCTGCCCTTTGGTGATCTGCATCGATTAGGGCTCCTTGGTAGCAAGGAACCGACACCAGCTGTCACGGGCCGAACTGGACTCCCACCAGATTCATCTGCTGAAGTCCTGACCCCCAGTAATCAGAACGTGATTGATTTAGAGATAAGATCTTTCAGAAGGTGATTAAGGTAAAATGAGGCCAATAGGGTGGGCCCTGATGCCGTAAGACTGGTGTCTCAGGACACAGACATGCATGGCGGGACGCCCATGGGAGGATGTGGGGAGAAGGCGGCACACATGGACTCGCGCGGAACCAGCCCTGCCAACACGTGGATGTTGGACATCCAGCCTCTGGAGCTGGGAGACGATAAATGTCTGTTGCTGAAGCCACACAGGATGTGGTCCTTTGCTGCCGGGGATGGTGCCGGCTAACACACCCACTCGCACTGAAGGAGAAAGTGGGGAGGCGGTTAGTATCCGGAGCCCCAGTCCCACCAGCCTCAGGGCCAGCACGTGCTCCCACACTGCCCTGGGCCCTCTCCATCGCCCTCCCCACCGCTCCACTCCCGGAAGCTCCTCCGTCACACATTCTGAGAGTCCGGGTCTAACGAAGATGCAACTCTCTCCGCCACTGGCTGTCTACCTAGGAGATCCCCACCTCCCCCCGAAACATGGAGCTCCCTCCACTAGAGAGGTCTAAACTTTTGTCTGAAGTCCTTGAAGGACATGGGAAGCTCTAGAAGGTCCCCTGAGTTGCTGCTTTCCAGGCTGGTAGGAGATGGGCAGGATGGCACAGCTTTGCCAGGTGTTAAATGGGTCAGGTTGGCATTTCAGCCTCGTGCCTAGTAAAACCAAGCCACCTTTAAACAGACACATCACTCCATTGCATTGCTCCGAGGTGGAAAGCCTGTTTCTAAAAGCAAAATAGAAAATATATAAAATTTTCCCCTGCCAAGCAATGTATTCAAAGATAGCCATTATCAGGATGGCCTCCTCTCTTCTGAGGGAAATCCAATGGTGCAAGTTGCAGAGGGCTTGCCCCCAAGTGGCCGCCCTCAGCCCAGTTTCCCCAGGGCCCTTTAAGAGCCGAGTGTGCGTGCGTGTGTGTGTGTGTGTGCGCGCGCGCGCGCGTGCACGCCTGTGCATGCGTGTGTGTGCATGCATATGAGAGACACGTCCTTCCTTGTGCCTTATCAGCAGAACTGTTCCCACGAAGGCACTTTATTGTCACAGCTGCCTGTTCCCACCCCTCTCCCCAAGGTGCCTCAAGGACTCAAGGGGCCTCAGGCAGCCGTCAACTGGCCACCCTGGACTCTCACTGCTGGGAGAGGGGGCCTGGAGGGTGGCCTAGAGGGGCCAGGAGGGGCCTGGGAGGGGGCTGGGAGGGACCCAGAGGGGGCCTGGAGGGTGGTGGTCTGGAAGGGGCCGAGAGGGGGCCGGGAGGGGGCCAGGAAGATGTCTAGGGGTCCACCCCACAGGCTGTGATGACTTCTCTGTGTTCCCAGCGCTAAGGGCACAGACCCTCACATTGTCGCTGGGCCTCTCTGTCCTGCCAGCACTGTCCATTCTCTCCTTGAACCCAAGGAGGAAGTCGCACGTCCCTAGTGCCCCCTGCCCCCAGCTCCAGCCTCTGCACCTGCTCGTGCAGCCTCGGCCTTCACCCCTCAGGCTCCACAGTCCACCCAGCAAAGCTTCAGGGAGCTGGGGCCACCAAGGGATGGAGGGACAGATGCCAGAAGCCTGCCCTGAGCATTCCTTGAGGCACTCGGGTTCTGGGGCTATCGAGGTGCCCCACCCATCGGCTCTCTGTCAGGCCCCCCACACTGGCTGCCCGACTGTTTTCTCTCCCTCCCCTCAGCTGCAGCCTACAAGTGGATGCTTGGGGAGGTTGCAATTTTCCACAAGGATCGAGGGGCCTAGACCACCCTGGGTCCCACCTCCCGGGCAAGGACAGAAGGACATGTGTCCCCACCAGCCTGAGGCAGGGCCATCCCGGCAAGAATCCCCAGGCTCTCTCTAGGCCTGCGGTCCAGATGGTGGAGCCAAGATCATGCACCCGCACATCCTGGACGGCCCATGGTGGATGGCGGACCTGGATTTCTCCCCGTGTCACATGCTGGGAGGGGGAGCTGAAGCCACTAGCCAGCCCTCCCTCACTGGGGACCCACCCAGTCAGTCACCTTGTCACCTGGCTGGGGCCCCCCGACCTGATGCATTCGCCAGGAGAAAGGCCCGTCCCTGCTGGGCACCCCCCAGCCACAGAAGCACTTCAAGTCATGGAGCCCCCGGTCTGCACGTCATGGAAAGTGTCACCAATGCCACACAGCTCTTGGAGGGGGTGGTAAAGGGAGACATCCCATGATCAAACTCCCCGCTGTGTCAGCCCCGCTAGAGACCTCATCTATTCAGTGCGTTAGGGCACGTGTGACACAGGAAGGAACAAGATGGGGGGGTGCTCTGGTGTCCCAGCCCCCCTCCCAGCTTTCTCTCATTGCATCCTTGAAATTATCAGTAAGCCTGTGATCCACGAGGGTGGGCAGGCCAGTCGGGCTGTGGGTCTGCTCACGCAGGCGGACGGGTAAACATTCTCGGCCCCGTTCTCGTCAGTCACGGGGGGTGGAGACGGGGGATGAAGATAAGGATGAAGGATCATTTGGGAGGGAGTTGGTTCTGAGAACAAAGACATGCCTTTTGACTCTCCCCACACCTCCCTCTGTTGCTGCTCACTTCTGATGCTGAGCCTGAGGTTTCCAGGCGAGAGAGAGAGCCTGAGCTGCACAGATGGCTTAGGGAGAAGTTGCCAGGTGCAGAGGAGGGAACAAATGAATTGCCCGCATTCCTTTAAACAGCTCAGGGGCCCAGCCTGGAGGACTCAGCCTAAGCGGTTTCACGTTGGGTGAGAGTGTGCCCCCACCCGTGGTAGCTGGGCCCTGGTAATGTGCTATCGAGGAACAGGAACGCCAGCCAGCAGTGCTCTAACCCATCAGGACATTTGGGTTGACTCAACATGAAGTCTCAGGGTGGGTGAGTCAAATCATAGCTCAGGGATGTCAGGGCTCTAGTTCTATGGCTTTTCCTCATTAGCACAGAAAGGCTGCTTGAAGCACCACATCGCACTCTCACACCACACATCCAAAGGCAGGCTGCAGGGGCTGGCCAGGGCAGCAAGAGGGAGCTCTTCTTCCAAGGAGGAAAAGTCATTCCCCAGACCCTCCAAGTAGATGCCCTCCCGCCTCATGAGTCAGAACGAAGTCCTAGAGACTCCTCCAGCTGAAATAGCGGCCCCCGCTTTTTATAGACTGGAAATCAGGTAAGAAAGAAGGTGGGGAATGAGTAGCAGGTCCCCAGAAAACAGGCCTGGTGCTCCCTGTCAGCGGGGAAAGCCCATCTGCCCGGCGCTGGGAACCAGAGCAGCTGTACTCCCCAGGATGCTCGAGCTGCCCGCGACAATCTAACAGCCTTGTGCACTGACACCCGGTGCTGGCACACACACCTCATTCCCTCCTCTGACCCCCACGCCTCCCCGAGGTGGGGTGAGCCTATGTAGGATGAGAAGCCATACGTGGAAATGGTGTACCTCCCTCTCCAAGAAAGGATAATCATTTGCAATTTTTTAAAAAGAACTGAAAGCACGAGTAACATTCATCTCCTTTAATCGTTAAGCCAATTTTGAGTCCAGGGGTGTGTGCCATCCGTCCAGGAGCCGAGGCGCGGATGCGGAGGGCCCCGAGTGCCTGCCGGTGACGTGGCTGGGCTCCCGGCCGCCGGCCGAGGCCATTGCAGCTCCTGGTGCCGCGGCCCCGAAGAGCATCTAGAAGGAGCACTCCTCTGAAGGGTGAGGTGTGAGAAGGAGACACAGGCAGTGAAAACCCCACGGTTTGTTCACTTGTGAATAACTACAGAGATGCCACTTGGAAGCACCAAGGGGAAAAGTCCTTAGAAAACACTCCCCGCCTTCCTATTTCAGTTACTCTCTCCAATCCCACCCAAGCAGGGATAAAGCGCTACCAGGATCCTTCACGGGCTTGCACTCAGTGATGTGAAGAAACACAGGGACAAATAGGGCTCCTTGCCAAGCGGTCTCCCAGCCTGGTCTTTGTGTCCCCAACCCGACATCAGCCTGATGCAGGCTGGACCACCTCCCCACGCTCGCCCGTGGCCCCTGCTGCGGGTACAACGCAGCTGGCCGCGCAGACTAGGGCCCTGCGCTCCCATGAGGTTTTCTCCCTAATCCTACACCTTCAGACCCTACAGGGCCTCCCTGGCCATACCGTCGGCAGCGTTGTCCACGGCCACAGGGTGGAAGCACCACGGGACTCCACGAAGAGTGTTGTCGAAACAGCAGCCCTTAGCTTTACACTGGGAAGACGTGATACCCGGAGGGCCGCAGTTTGCTCTCTGGGGGGGGTCCACCACACACGTCTCTGGGGGTGCAGGGGGTAAGAGGGAGGGTAAGTCGCTGGCTGATGCCCATCTTCCTTCTCCAGTTGAACCAGCAGCCAGCTGGTGCCACAGATGGGGACTTAGGGCTCAGGCTACAAGAGGGATATCCCAGCCTCTTCTCCTGGTAGGAAAACCCTTCAGCTCAGGGCAAAGGCAAGGTGTCCGGGATTTGCAAATTTTACACCTACCTACGTAATTTATCCCTGCATTCGTTCACTTCAACAAACAATCCTTTAGCTTTATTCAATCAATAAATATCTATCGAACACCATCTGTGTGTGCTAGAAACGGAAATTAGCACCGCAAAAGTAGACAGTGAAGGTCGCTCAAGCACCGAGCTCATGTTGGGCCCCGTGCCAGGGGATGGACCCAGGAACTAAAAACAGAGAAGTCTTGGTTAAGAAGCTAACAGTCTAATGGAGGAGAAGAGCCAGTGAATGTACGGAACAGCACCGTGAGGCCACCCCAGTGCACTGAAGGCAAGCACAGGAGGCACAAGGACAAGGCAGAGAACAAACCAAGGAGGGCTTCCTAGGGGAGGAGGTTACCAGGTAGGATGAAGGACACAATGGGTGTAACCTGCAGAGGGAGCAGGTGTTCAAAGGCAGTCGAGAAAGAGCAAAAAGGTGTATTTTAGGAGGTGTAGTCCGTTTGCAGGAAAGACAAAGAGGCTGGGGTGGGGTGGACGCCTTCAACCTCTCAGCAGCTTTAACCCGGGGGTTGGCGGGGGGAAGATGGGAGCCAGGATGGTGGAGAACATGCGGGTTGGCGGGAGACACGCTGGGGAGGCAGGGCTGCCGTGTGGTCTACACATGGGAACCGAGGGGGCTGAGCCCCGTTAACCCAGCCAGGCATTGAGAAGGTGAGCTCACGCGGGAGCTGCCCTCCACGGGCTTCTGTGTTCTCCTCCACGGATCGCCTCAAGCTTTCTCTGAAGGAGGGGTCTGTGGCTTCGCGGGAAAGGTCTGGCCCATCTCCCACCCACCGGCTGGGGGGGCCTCTGCAGGACTTCAGCCTCCCCGCGTCTGGCTCCCCGCCGGAGAGGGAGGGTGGCGCCCCCACCCCCAGGGCGGTTGTGAAGCCGGGAGGAGCTGCGTGCGCACGTGTGCGTGCGTGTGTGCTTGCGCACGCTCAGACATGGCTCTGTGTCCTGCCCACCTGCCGGGGGAGGGAGCGGCAGCTGGGGTGGGATGGGGCTCCAGGTTTCCTTGCTCTGTCCACCCATTTACCAGCACAGGACGGACCTAGGCGGGAACGGTCTCTACCGGGGCTGTGCTTGCAATCGAGTTTCTGGATGCCTCGTGACAGGACTGCTGGCGCACAGAGAAGGGGTGAGCCTCGGGCCAGAGGGCCGAGCGGGGTCGGCCGCGGAGAGGGATTCACAGCCCGGCCTGGGGGCGGCCGTGTGGCCACACTCCTGGGCATCCTCCACGGCAGAGCCGCGTCTTCTCCAGGCCCAAAGCCCGCGTGTCCTTTCTGGCCTTAGCCTGTCCCTGCCTTGGGGACCTTCCAAGTGGCCACCTGGTGCCTCCGTCGTCCCTCTGCCCACACCCCTTTCTTTGTTGTTCTTCATCGGGTCCTCGGAAGGTGCCCTGAGATGCACGGAAACCATGGTTCCTCTTCCCCTCCTCAGACCTCTATGGAAATCCTGGTTTTGAAAACCTGGGAAACTTGGGGCGCCTGGGTGGCTCAGTTGGTTAAGCGACTGCCTTCGGCTCAGGTCATGATCCTGGAGTCCCGGGATCGAGTCCCACATCGGGCTTCCTGCTCAGCAGGGAGTCTGCTTCTCCCTCTGACCCTCTTCCCTCTCGTGCTTTCTATCTCTCGTTCTCTCTCTCTCAAATAAATAAATAAAAAATCTAAAAAAAAAAAAAAAAAAGAAAACCTGGGAAACTTTACAACAGCGTCTAATGAAAATAACACTTACTGAGCACAGGGCAGCTCGCAAAGCGCTCTCTGAAGGCCTTGTCCCACCCCCGAGCCCCTCGACGCCGACGTCCTGGTCCAGGGGCTGAGATGGTGGCTCAAGGGAGCCAGGCGCTCTGTCGCTTGTGGTGCCCACGGAACCCGCACACCGGGACCGCGGAGCCTGCGGGGGTCCTCAGGGGATGCTCGTCCATTCAATGGGCCCTTGGGCATCTGGGTGGCTTTGACCAGAGGCCGGCTTGGACATCTGGGGAGCTGTTCTCCCACCGCATCTCCGAGACTGCCCCTTGAGAGCCGGTGCTCGGGGCGTCAGTGCCGGACGCAGCAAGCAGTGATCAGGGCGCCCATGTGCTCACAGCGGTGCTCAGAGCTCCCGTGGCCGTGGCCCGGATGCTGCTCTCCATGGGCCTTCTCCCTCCCAAATCCTCCCAGGGCCCAGCGTGGCGCTCAGCTCAAACACATGGTCTGTGGCTCAGGCACCACCACGAGGGCTGATGCGGGAGGGGGGCCGCTTACCAAGCTCGCCCCGGGCCAGGGAGCTGAGGGTCAGCACGCACACCAACATCAAGACGCAGATCACCCTGGGCTCCATGGCGGCCGTGACCTTCCTCTCTGCTCCAGGGGAGACCACGAGTCAGCGATGGGACCCTGTGCAGGCCCTGCATTTTATGCACAGGCTCTGTTTGCCTAAAGAGTGTGGGGTAACATTTGCCTAAGGAGGGGTCTCCCAGTCCTCCATTCCAGGTAATCTCCACTGATTAAAACAAGTTTGCTGATGGGGCAAGTGCCAAGGTGCGTAATCATCCTGAATGAAGGACTCGAGGTTCAGAAAGTCCCTCCTGTCCCTTGGGCCCGACCAGATCGCTAACCGCAGTGGAGGCCCTCCTGCAGATGTCAACATTACACTCACGGAAGGGTGACTCATGGGAGAGCCGGCCCCAGAAGGCACAGTTGTGCCAACAGTGGCTCATGGGGTCGCCCTCCACGGCGGTCCGACTTGGAGCCGATGGGGCCCGCCCACCAGGCTGTCCTGTCAAGGGTGGCAGGCCAGTGGCCTTCGACTATTTTGAGAACCCAGGTCTGGGGGAGGGCCGTGGCCGCACAAGAGGGTCAGGAAAGGAACAGGCCCACGCCCCCTCCCCCTCGGCCCCGGGCCCTCGGACTGCAAACTTCATCTTTTCCGAGAGTGCCGTCTGTTGGGCATTCCCACGGCCACGTCGTAGGTCAGCCAGTGCGCCTCACAGGGGAAACGTGGCTCATCCGGAGGGGTTCTCCCTCCAGTTGGCACTGACATTGAAAACTCAAGAATGGGGGCGCCCGGGTGGCTCCATCAGTTATGCATCTGACTCTTGGTTTTGGCTCAGGTCGTGATCTCGGGGTTGTGGAGTCAAGCTCAGCATCGGGCTCTGCGCTCAGCGGGGAGTCTGCTTGAGCTTCTCTCTCCCTCTGCTCCTCCCCATCCCCCCCTAAAAAAAAGAAGGGAAAAAAAAAGAAAACATGAAAGTGTCCAACATCTTACCTAGAGGAATTGTGTATTTCAACTTATTTACTTAAATTAATTTTTCTGTTTTTCTCTTTCCCTCTACAGCACAGTCCTTTCAAAAATGAAGCTGTATATATACCAGCAACCGTCTGAACTGACCGAGCGGGAGTGCTCGTGCCTCCGGGGACCCCTCTCCCTGTTTCAGGCCCCACAGTAAGGCTCCTCAACCTTGTGCTTCAAGGGTAACCTCGGGCCAGCCCTCCCCTGGCCCCACCAGGTCCAGCTCTGTTCTCTGAGCCCCAGTGTCCCCAGTCCCCTGCTGCCGCACCACGTGGAGCATGCCTGTCCCCCAGGAGAGCGGAAGGTCAGTGAGGCAGGGGGCTTCGTCTGCTCTGTGCCTTCTGGTGGCCCTGCACCTATAATCGTTCTTATCTTATTCAATAAACATCTGTTGAGGAATGAATGAATCAACGAATGAATGAATGAGCAACAGGAGAAATATTTTTTCCTCAATGAACAATGAGGCTCTAAGAATCCGCCCTGGAGAGGTGTTTACTTTTCTAAGTGACCTGGTGAATCAATCCGGCAGCCCCTCTGGGAGGGGAGCCCCAGTCAGAACTGGGGGTGCCACATTCTTTGTGCCCTCCGCCCTGAGCCCAGCACCCCCCAACCCGGGCTGTCCAGTGGGGTCTCCAGAAGAGGCTCGATGTGCAGGACCCGGGGGCGGGGGGTGGGGTTAGGGCACAGAGTCCTCCGTGGAGGTGGTTCAGTTTGCCAGAAACGGTGTGTGGGGGTGTGCCGGATCCGCAGTGATGCTCATGGTCACGGAAAACCACCCCTAATTTCTCAGAGCGAAAGGGGAGCTCTCAGACACGGAATTGCAAATTGCGCAACAATTTGGAAGAAAAGTGTGTGACTGTCAGTGGAGTTGATGCTACATAGACTTACAATCCAGCGGTGCCACTGGTTCTGGGTCTGGCGTGTGTCCCGGATAAACCCCACACTTAGGCAGAGGGAAGCAGAGACAAGGATGGTCTTTGCAGCATTGCCCGTGATACCTTTAATAAAAAAAAAAGAAGGAAGAAAAGGAGAAATGGAGAAGCTGAAAAAAAGGAAGAACAAGGTAGTAAGGAGGGAAAGAAAGGAGGAAGGAAGGAAGGAAGGAAGGAAGGAAGGGGGAAGCAATGTGAATGTTCATAAGTGTGTATGGAAAAGGAAAAGGGGGAAGAGTGTAAGGCACATGTGTGCATCACGACCCTGCAGAACATGGGAATGAATGAATGAATGAATGAATGGAAATGAGTGAGTACTGGCGGCGAAGCTGACGGGGAAGCATGAGAAGGGCGCTCGCAGCCCGATGTCGGGCTTGCCGCAGGTTTCCGGTGCGTGGAGCCGGGTGGAACTGTGAGAGCTGCACCCCATGAGCTAAGGTTGCCCGGTGACATGGGGGAGGCTGCTGACCTGCGTGTAATGGGCGCATCTGGGAAGTGGGGACAGTGACATAGATCAGGGAGGGCACCAAGGGCCACCAACGTGGGCATCATGTTCTATTTCACGGAAGGAAATCTGAAGGAAGTGTGGTGGGGAAGTCAGCATCTATTAGGGGGGAGACTCGGATCCACAGGTGTCTGTCCTGTCGTTCCGTGTGTGTTTGCAGTGACCTCCTGCTCCGTGGGGACTGCTAAGCACCCTTAGTCCGGTGCTTAACCAATGGAGCCACCCAGGCGCCCCTGGTTGGTTTGTTTTACACGGCAGTCTAGTGAAGCAGGAAACGTGCTGGGTTGAGGGCTAACCTGCTAACGAGTCAAGTCATGCGGTGCAAGATTCTGGAAAATGAAGCGCCCGACCCCAAGATGCCCCAATCTAATGCGATGCTCACTGTTCAGGCCCCACAGCCACGGCGGGACCCCTTGTTGAGGACCCCTCTCCCCAGGGTCACACCGCAGCTCTGGCTTGGCCTGATAGGTCTCCCACCCCAGCACCATGCTCCTCAGTACAGGGGTGAGGGTGTGATGCAGGGGCTGGTTTCTCCCGTCTGCCTTCACCGCCCTCTCTGGGCCCTGTCCACCGCCTCCTGTTCTCTGGCTTCTGGCTGCTATGAGCTGGACTCAGGAGGAGGTGAGCTTGGGGTTTTATCTCCCGGGTCCCTCCCTGTGGGGTCACCTTACATGGCCGCATCCCTGTGTCCAGCCTTCTGCGAATGGTGGTCTTGTCCAGGCCCCTGTGCGGACCCCTCTCTGCACTCCTCCAGGCTGAGGGGTGTGCTGCCCCCACTGAGAAGCTAACAGTCTCTGCATTTCACCCTCCCAGAGTCACCCAGATTGAGGGGGACAGACCTGCTTCCCGCCAGGCCTCTGAGTGACACAGAAATTGCTACCGTGGTGACCCCGGCACCTCACGCACCGTGGAAATGAGCCCCTGAGGTTGGCCCCTCGAGCGCGTCTGCTGGTCAGGAATTGGGCACTGGTGGCCACGGCAGGGGGCGGTGTCATAGCATCTCAGCTTAACGGGGCAGTGACATGGAGTGAGGTCATGTGATCAAGATTTGGGGTCAGCCCTGCACGAATGGAAAAGGAGAGGATGGAGGGTGGCGGTGGCGGGGGCGGGGGGAAGGGCGGGCCCCCGAGAATGGGCAGCCCAGTTCCCAGAGCCGCAGGGCAGGCCGGGGCAGCCGGGGTGGACGGCCCTCTCCTGGCCGGGCAGCCACAGCTAACCATCAGCCACTCCAGCTTCCTTACACCAAGATCCTGGTAGCCGTGAGCCACGAGACACGCAGCTGGGACATTCTGGGCAGGAACGTGCTGCTGGGAACTTTGAACCCTGAACCAGCCCTGGACCTTCTCCAGCAGCAGAGGCAACCCCTGGTCGTCTGTGGGAGGGGCAGCTCTCCTACCCACAAAGCTTCCGTGGACCACTGACCGAGCTCGGCTCACAGAGCGCAGGCAGGGTGCCACCCTCCTCGGGGCCATTCCTGACGTGGCTTCCAGGTGCGTCAGGTTAGACCCCTCCCAGCCCAAGGTTGCTGGGAGAGAGCCTGTGCCCCGGAGGAGCCTGGGGGGTGTCGAGAGTGGAGGCAGGCAGTTAGGCCCTGGAGAAAGAAGGACCCAGCTCAGAGGACTGATGTCCTCACACCCACCCAGCGTGCAGGACAGGTGCACCAGCACAAGCACACGGGAGGCTGTGACCGTCTTGCGGGCGGGACGGAGCCCTGCATTTGGCGGTGGCCAACGGCTCATGCAGCAGACATGCCGGAGCGTCCCAATACATGGCAGCCTCGCTATTCAAGGCAGTCTGCTCCCTCACAGACTTCGTGAAGTCAAAATGCATTCTAGAAAGTTCCCAGCTGCTTCATGTGCACAGAAGATGTGGGAAGCCTGGTGCTGCAGCAGGGGTTGGGGTCTCAGGCTCGAGGAGGCTTTGGCACCAGAGTGGATCTGTCATGCTCACCCTTCTCAGCCACACTGGGAATGGCCGGAGTGTGATCCCATCACTCAGAGGTTCAGAAATGCCTCAGTGAGGGACCACCAGCGTCCTTCACAAGTGCCACGGCTCCTCCCGCCTCAACAGAAAGGGAGGCCTGGTCCTGTTGAGGAAGGGCCTTACATCGGGGCCACAAATGCCTATGATGAAACTTCCCCAAGCCTCCTGCAGAACAATCTGAGCCATTTACCAGTGCTATGGGCTCAACTGTGTCCCCCCAAAAGATGTTGAAGTCCTAACCTCCAGTACCCGTGATTGGGACCTTATTTGGAAATAAGATCTTTGCAGAAGGCCAGCTTAAGATGAGGTCATTAGTGCGGACCCTCGTCCAGTATGACTGGCGTCCAATAAAAGGGGACATTTGGAGACGTAAATACACAGGGAGAATGCCATCTACGAGTCACGGTACGCCCGCGGCCCCAGGAGACGGGTGGGGGCCCCGGACAGATTCGCGCTCCGCAGGGACTAACCCCAATGACACCTTGATTTCGGACCTCTCGCCTCCAGACAGGGCAAGAGTAAGTGTCGGTTGTAAATTCAGGGTGTGGTACTTATTTACTACGGCAGTCCTGGGAAACTAAAACACCCAGGGGGACTGTGTACCAGAGAAAGGAAAGTATGTAGACGTT